CATCGTGATGTGTGAAATGGTGGTGTCAGGACGGCCTACCAATTTCCCACATTTTCCAGTTTTTCACCAAGAGATTTTCCCGTCGAGCGGGAGGGGGGGGGGGGGGAAGATATATAGCCACTGTGAAACGGGGAAAATTTCTCAAAATATCCCCAAATTCCTACCACCTTTTGGAATTTACCGAGAATTTTCCGGCTTTTCCCCGAAAAATTTTGCTGTCGAGCACGGCGGGGGGGGGGGGGAGAGTGTGGTCATGATAGTAGCATATGAAAACAAAAGGTCAACAATCGGGAAAAAATTTTCCCCAATATGACGAATTTCTGTCAAAGTCACATAGTACGATCCCCCTCTCCCAACGACGACCAATACGACCCTCCTTCCCTCCCCAGCGGGAAAAAGTACGGACCCTTTATGTGTTTCACACAATGACGCTGCTACCCTGAATCCAAGTCTATATCTCTCAGGCGAGTTCGGCACAAATCAATAGGTTTTGGAGGGAGGATATTCCTAGTTGGTTTGGACAGGAGGCAATCCGAGATCTGAACCCAGATCGTGTTCCTAGTAAACGGCGCCTTCACGACGTCCGCCAGAATAGGGGGACAACTGAAAAAAATAGACAAAGTGGCCATGAATAAGCTTGTGTTCAACTTGAAGCAAATGGCAATTGGACCTAGGAATTTCTCAACAATGACCCCTCCACCACTTCGACCTAGTCCTCCAGCCTGTTTCCTATCTCGTGCTCCCCACGAAGACTGTGGGCGGCACTCAAGCAGGGCACGTCCAGCAAGGGGTCGTATCTGGTCGTTGGTTGCAAGGGGTGGGGAAGTATGTCTATGAAAAATACGCTAACAAGGGCTGGGAAAGTATTGTCCATGAGAAATACGCTATATATACGCAAAAGACATACATTACGGAGATTGCGGGTGGGATGGGGGGGGGGTCGTTCTAGAGTAGGTATTTTGCGAAAATTTTTCCCCCAACGGCGAAACGTGCTCTGCTTACGCGCTCACAAAAAGCCTTCCAGCAGAGGAAGGAGCCGCATAAGCTGAAATTCTTCTTTTTGAAAAATTCCTACTCCCAGTTCGGAACAGCGCCGGCCGAATGACCCCAAGTCTGTTATTGCGGGTTCCACACTCTAAGCAGTAGTTGGGCTCCCTTGGACACAATGCCAGGGCTTTACTCTCCCCCAGCGACAGTCCATCTTTAGCAGCGGTAGCATACCATTTTTCGTTTCTTAGGTACAACCAGAAAGAATATTTCGGAAAACTATGGAACAAGTAAAACCCAAGTGAATCGACTAAGAGTTTCGAGATAGCACATTCTGAGTCCCGATGGTTAAGAGCTCAGGGCATACCTGATCGTCCACCAGGCGCACTTTCTCTTTCCCTCATGGTCTGTGCGAAGTCCACCACAGTTCTGCAGATGGCCATGAAAGAACCTACACTATTCTTTTCCACTGAGGGAATATTTTCAGTTTTAGTGCGCGCTCTTTTTTAAATATCTCAGTGTCGTTTTTCTTGTGGTAGCACCACTAATAATGACACTTCAGAAGAGCGTCACTTACCGAGATCACCCACAAGACCCAGACTCCATTTTAATGAGGTCCAACATGCAAAACTCTGTTCGTTGCGAATCATGGCGACCAGAGATCCTAGAGTGCGGGCACGTGCAATCTTGACTTCATTCAGGGACGCCATAAACCTCTGAGGGGAGGGAAGGGTGTGTAGTCAAAGTGGCGCCAACAATCGCTGCTTACACTCGCACGTCTTGCCGTCCAAATCCGAGGTCGCACTTCCGCCAGGCAACCAAGTCTTCTACCCAGCTCCAGCGGACCGGTAAATGGTACCAGCATTCGTCTAGAAGGATAAGAACAACGAATTGTAGATGGCCAGACCCCTCTAGTCATTGTATAGGCCACATCGCATTTGATAAGTCACTAGGATTCTGAATGGAAGTAGAATGCGTGCTGCACACCCTTAAGGGATTAATCCGCGGCGATGACTTTATCATGATCTTCAGACCCTCTAGATCGCGTAAAGGTTGTTGTGGCAATAGTCTTCGGCGCTAGAACATAGATAACGCGAGTAGTGGTGCCACAGATGGTTACCCGTTGATTTCAAACGGATGCAGCAGAGCTGGTCTCTAATGACGTTTAAGGCACCATGGAAGTTCGATTGAGACGACAATTACCAGGCACACATGAGGTAACCGCAAGCTCCGCCAAATGGTGGCGGGGCGTGCGCCAGTAGACGACGCGAGGGATGAATTTCCAATGCATTTAGAGCGCCGGAAAATGGCCGAAAGAGATTGAAGTTTCTGCAAAAAGAAGTTGTCACTGACTTGACTTGAAAATAGCGTAAATTCGAGAAACTTCTAGATCATTATATCCTGTCTTTCATATTTTTTTATTCATCATCTACTTGTACCTATGCAGCCGCGCCGAATTTTGGCATATCTCACCAATAAAGAGAGTTCGCATATATACAGACTTGGGAGGACTTGCCTTTTAGCGAGGGGGGGGGAGGTTTTCGGGAAACATTATGGGTGAGCAATTCGCCCCGACTTCGCGTTACATCCGACTGTCGTTACACAAAACGACTAGAAAATGATAGCTACTTATCCTTGAGAAGTTTAAGGAGAGGCTATTAAAGTAAGCCAGAGTCGCCTAGCTACCCAACTGAGAAACTTTGAGATCACATCCAGTCACATGTGCACTACGCGATTTTTTTGGCAAACATCACATTTCATTTCTACAAGTTAACCGAACGCACTGTATCTGAGGCTAGACTCCGGAGAACTTTTCAGATTCCGAGTTAGGGTGAGGAGCTTTGCAATCCCGTACATGAAAAATGTACATTTGGATTTCAAGACTGCGCCTATTCTCATTAAAATCATCTGAAGCCGCGCTCGAGATGAGGTTTTCATCGAACGGCATTACGTAACCATACAGATAAAGAAATATACAGACCATCAGGACGTTCAATGAGTGTACGAGACTTTAAATGCGATCAGAACAAAACCATCATCCCGCTGGCGCTGCAAGATGTTTCGCGTCAGGCTTTGGCTCCAAAGGGCAAAAGTCGAGCAACAACAGGCCAGCTTCACCCTAACAAAAGAATTTCGTAAAGGTTAGCTGAATACCACTGGATAGTGCAGAACTACGGCGCTAGCGTAGTTCGAGGAATCCCTCAGCGCAGGGCGCGCCATCGCGTTGTGAACATTTTCTGACAGATTGCGACCTATCCCCCTAATTCCTACTAAAAACAGTGACCCCTTATTCTGGAAGTTGGTACAACCCCTCCCCCTCCAGCCTCTGCCTTCCTTTCATCGAAACGATGCGTCGAGGGCGGGGGGAGGTCGGTCAGAATCAAACTATCTTGCTCGGAAATAGGTTAGTGGTCCTCTACTGACCAAATCGGCCCCCCCCTCCAAAATGACCAGAGTACTGACCCCTACCTATAGCCGCCCGTTGCAAAAAGAGAAATAACTATCAAAAAAATTTTATTTTCCTGACCAAATCCGACCCCCCCCCCTTGTGATAATCAGAACGGCGTACCCATGCCTCAGCGGCGTCTTCATGTTACTTTCCCTAACCACAGTGTGAGCTTAGATAGTGTTCATACTTTGCGTCAGCGTTCTCAACGACTTGGAAAGTACAATATTATCCAGCAGCGCTCAAAAACACCGCCCTACGTCAAAAACGGTGAAGCAAAGCTGCGCGCGAGACGAATCCATCTGAAAATTACTTTTAGCGTCACCGCGAATTATTTGGCATTACGCCGCGCCGTAGGCAACCACACGACTATCACTGATACATGCCGCCAATGCTTACCACGGCTGTTTATAACGAACTCATCAGGGAATTCCGTTGGTTGTTGGGATAGCGAGAAGGTCCTGTGGCTTACGAGTGAAATTTCTTCCCTTCACGCAGCCGCTTAACCATCAACCAGTTGCTTTACATCAAATTCTGGGAAAATTTGATAATATCGCATAATTACTGTCTTGTTAACTGGATGTGCGAAGTGCTCAGCGGGACAAGCTTTGGACACAGCTGCCAAACAGCCGATCTCCACCAGGTGTTGAAACCGTAACACGCCTTTTCAAGCCATAGCGCAACTTCTCTTCACCGGCCGTGAGCAGTCGCGAGGAGGACGGGCTGCCACTAAAACACGTTCTTTCACACTTCTGCAGGTACCTTGCAATCGGACCAATACTCGAATAATACACGTATTTTTTAAACATTAATGGGCTGAAGGCAGTGGTTGTTAGTGACAAGTGTCGCGCGCATGGTCCTACGGGTTCGAATCCCAGGTCGACACACCCGCCCAAGCAACAAGCCTCTCTCTACCTGCCGGGAACGGTCTAAAATGGTAGTCAGATTCGTCATGGGAGGATAAAACACTGGACTTGTACTCGCTTGGCCCCCGCAAAGTCATTGTTATTATGGCCACATCGCCATTCAATAAGCCTTTCGAATTCCTGGATGCGAAGTAGAATGCGGTTGCCGCATCCACGAAAGACTGCATTTACCGGCCGAAGATGCATCATCTTTTTTATCCTTTAATGGATCGCTGACAATGATTCAACACTGCAGGCCGTCAATAGATTAGCAAGTGGGGCGTGTTGTTAGGCTCTAACGTCAATTTGGCAGAACGCTCAGCGCCAAATGTGAAACCGCCTGCTCCACCATCACGACCACCGCGCCTCTCTACTTATGCTATAAGAGTTTCTTTTTATCAATAACTTTCTGTAGACAGTTGACAAACCCAAGTGAACGGTGACCACACAAGTATAAGTACAAACTTTCATTTTTTTTCACAAAATCACCAGAATAAACAGGGTTATTAACAGGCCCCGGTATCAAAAGTAAAAAAAATGACAAAACAACTCATCAGTAAGAGATCATGAGAGCTACTGGGTAAAAGAATCGGTTATTCAGACACTGTTAAGAGCTTTTTAGTATTCATCAGTTAAGCACGTGAGAGATGGAGAAATACTTTTTAAATCAAAGTGATTTTGTTATCAGCAATCATAATCGCATTATCATTGGCCATTCTTTCGTATCCTGCCTCCAATTCACCGTCAGAGAACAAATTACTGCCAGCTTGTGACTGTACGCCTGAAATCGCCATTTCCATTGTTCTCTGTACCCAAATTGACAGAAACCACAAATGAACTTACCTTCAGTAATTTTCTCCAAGTCTACCATGTCATCAGTAGCCCCTAGCTCATCGAAAACTTTTCGTACACAAGCACGGAACTGCTTGTACCTTGAACAAATACAGTTAAATCTTGTCCGAGTCGCTAAGACCTCTGTCAATATGTAGAAACCGAGTCACCTGTCTACACTGATACTTGGTGGCTCCGCTCGTGGACGTTTCGCTGGCTGGGAAGCAGTTGGCGATGAATCACCGCTATGAGTGGTGGTGTCACGAGCGCGCCTAAAGAATGTTAACAGTCATAGACATATATGTGCAAAGAGCGAAGCAAGGGAACCCACCTTCGAGTTCCTCGTCCAGGAGTCGCGGTTGGGGCGGACGATTGCTCGTCAGCAGCCTTAAAAACGGCACTTCAGAAGACTTCAAAAAGCCTGCATCAGTTACGGCATTAAGATGAAAAGAATAGACACGGCGTACCCCTCCCCCCCCTCCAACGCTGTTCTTTGCTGAATAGCGGACTGCTATAACTCGAATATAATAGTGACTGGCTAGGAGCATCATTGGCTGTGTGGCGTATGGCGTCGTTGTCACGTATCGATTGATGGGAAGACATACAATGAAATCCGTCTAGCACACCTATCTAGTCATTGCCGCGCACTTTTCAATAGAAACAGCATATTTGATCTCGATGATCAAACAGATTCCATTTACTTTTACCTTCAGCACAGGTGTAGCACCAGGAACTTCATCAACCCCCGAAGAGAACGAGTTACCGATCAACCTTTGCACGGTAAATTCCCGATCGGCGACAACAACAATTCAAGAAAGATCAAAAGCACCACACAATAACTCTCCACTGTTAACTCACTTCGTCATCCTCTTCAGGCTCCTCATCACTCGGCCCATCGGCAACGACCCTTTTCTTCGCGTTTTCGTAGTCAAGTCTGGCCTTGGGCTTCTCTTTGAAGCAAGCGAAATGCAGCAAATTATAGGCCTTGAATATGTGCATGCTCCAGTTTTATGGAAGAACGGTAAGAAAAGTACTCACACTCCACCAACCTTTTCTGCATCCACTCGATCAACGGTCTTGGAAAAGCGAGCCTTGGCAATTGACGTCGACAGACGAATCAGGGTTTCTAACTGCCGAGCAGTTATAGGCATTGTCTAAAAAAATCGACTTATTGTTTTGAAGCTGCTTTCGCATGATAACTGCTGAATAACGCCGTAATTCGTGCTCTGGAGGTTAGCATAAGAATGCTCAATTATGGGCAAAAGTCAGACTCCAGGCAGGACTCAAACCCGCACCTCCCGCTAACCGGGCGAGCGCGCTATCCATTACGCCACCGGGGTTGCTCTTCCTAAGCTGGAAAGCGGACTCGCCCGGTTAGCGAGAGAAACGAGTGCGAGTCTGGCCTGGGGTCTGATTTTTGCCCATGACCTATTGCTCATAACTAACGCTTTTTCACCAGGGCTTACCCTTTCTCTATCCGTCTTCGATGTGTCGAATGACCTGATTTCCGCGTAAACCTCTGAAATGAATTCCGTAGCTTGTTCGGTGAGTTTTGGCTTCATCGATCGAGCAAGATGGTATATATTTCCTGACGAACTCGACTGATA